GTTTTCCACTAGCATCGATCCTCTTCTAGTGATGGCAATCCAAAACACGTTGCATTGGGGTAGTATGGTACACATATCGTGATGCTGATTGCCTCTTCAATGACTTTGTCAAGGATGTCAGGTACGAGTTCCCATGATGGGTTCGCATATGCATTCACTTCCAGCGCCCACTTCTGTAGTAGCGCATTCTGTTCTTTGGTGTAGTCTTTATCTGTATGTGCATTGTGTGCCGATGCAAACAGATCTACCGTGAATTTCCAAACCGTCATTCAGCTTCTTGGTAGAATCTGGGGTGTAACTTCCAGTCCATAGCTGATAGATTGTTATGGACATATTAGTTTCCAAGGTGGTGCACTCTTGGCTGTTATGTGTTGTTTTGTTCGCGTCTTTCAATACCTTTTTGCTATTCATTTGGCTAGCATTGGGTGTAACGTCTGTTGACTGTTCATTTACGTGAACGCTTTGTGGTATGTCCACAGTGCTATATCCCCCTCCTTTGATGGATTCGGAGAAATGTTCTAGGCTGTAAACCAGTGCTAGTAGCTCTTTGGTATTCGTGCCATAGCGTTGTTGTGCTGGATTCAAGCCTTTGGAAAAGTAGAGAATGTCTCTCCTAACCCCGTCGATGACTTGGAGTAAACATTCTCCTATGCCATAGTCACTAGCATCGTTCATGATTTGAAAAGGTACCCCATCAACAGGGTATGCTAGGGTAGCCGAGCATGCGATGGCTTCTTTGAGATCTTCCCACTTCTTGTTGAGTTCCGGAGTCCATAACATGGATATGTTCTGGTTCATTTTTCCCTTCATTAGGTTCCGGAAGTGTTTAGTAGTGTAGGCAAAGTTAGTGACATGGTCGCGCATACAGTTTGCTAGTCTCACCGCTTTGTATATATATATTTTTTGTTCTGTGTAGTGGCCAGTCCCTCATCCTTATGTTTTTCAGAATTCACTTTGAGCCCCTGTGTGGTTACTTTCACACCTAGAATGTTGACCATTTTGGCCGCGAAGGCTCGCTTGTTGTGATTGAGTCGGAAGTTTGCTCCATTCAGTCGCTTGATTACTTCACGCGCTGTCTTGCGGTGTTCTTCGTCTGTAAGACTCGCAATGACTATGTCATCTACATACACTTGCACACCTTTGATGTCTATGAGCAAGTTTGTCATGACTCTCTGGATTTGTGCTGTGAGTGAGTGTAGTCCAAAAGGCGCTGACTTGAATGAGTACTGCGCTCCTCTCCACGAGAGTGTGAAGGAGTGTTGGCTTGCTTCGTCTACTAGGAAGGGGTTGAATCCTCCTGTGAGGTCTAACTTTGAAAAGAATTGTGCTCCTTGTAGGTTGTGTAACACTTCCTTTATTTTAAGTAACACAAACTTATCTTGTTCATATTGGTAATTGATCTCGCGCAAGTCTAGACAAGTACTTACTTTCTTGAGGAGACCGGTTTGGTCATGTTCACCTGTGGAGAGCAACCGTAGATTTACTGTTGTTGGTGTAGTTTGTTTGGATATGTGCCCATCTGTAAGCCACTTCCGTACATTTTCGTCCGTTTGTTGCAATGTACGTCAGGAGATATGGTCGGATTTGTGTCTAAGAGGTCTACCAGTGACGCTCTGAAACCTTCTTATTCACGCTCATAGTCCTCTTCATGTGGCGCGAGGAGTGATTCCCATTTTGCATCTGTTGGTATAAGTGGATTGATTAATCCTGCTATGTATATATCATTGTATAGTAAAATTTTCATACCAAGGAGTATTGGTGCCTTCATGTCTGGGAAGTACAACACTTCAAAACACTGGGAGGTTTTCCTTCCTCCGTAATTAATATCACATACTTGGGTTGACCCTGTGCGTTGTATTCTTGCATATGTTTGTGCTAATTGTATATAACCCGGTTGCGCTATGACCGAGAGATATAGTTCAGTTACTACACTCGTGTCCATACATGAGCGTTGTGCGCCCGAGTCTATTAGAACATTGTATGTATTGCCATTAATTTGTATGTCAATGTGTAATCGTTGGTCTCGTGGTGCGGGAAGTAAGGATAAAGGTTGGTAATTTATATCATTTGCATTTATTAACAACGTTCCTTCATCTTTCTATTCATTGAGCCTGTCAGCCAGGTCAATCATGTTTGCTTCCACCCACCAGTTGGCTCAGTGCCCACCACCATCTGTGATGTCTTCTACCTTGCCGGAGGTAATGGACAATCTTGCTACTTGCATATCGCGTTGTACACGCTCCTCGGCCTGTTTGGCCTGGTTCGATACCTTCATGGGACATTGGCTGAACCGATGTGGAGCTGGCATCACATTGCATTAAGGACATGCACGTTCCTCGCGCGCCCCTTTCTTCTCTTATGTTTGTCCTAATGGCTTGGTTTGCTTGGGTGCACTGTTGTCCGGTTTGTGCCGTTTGGTCGTGGTAGTTGTGCTACTATGAGTCTGACTGCGATTGGGTGTTTGCGGGTGGTGTCGCTTCTGACGCTCTCTTAACAACCGATCTCCTTGTACTTTGGCTGCCGTTCTTATGCTTGCTTCAGTAAGAGAGTGAAACACAGTGTGTCTCATGTCCGATAAGTGACCCTGATGAGAGCATACACTTTCTCTTGTTGTCCGTAGTACGTAAGTGCTTGGTATCTTTGGACCTTGAGAATTTGCACGTTTATAGACTCTTTGTCTGAGTTGCGGCAACGCTCCTCTAACATATCCATTGTCTTATGCGCTCGCTCTGTGCGCACCTCTACGTACACTGTCTTGTTCTGTATGTCATTGAGAAAGTATTCTAACAGATAGTCTACTGGATGGTGTCTGAGTCTGTCAATAATGATTCTATTGAATTGTCCAGAATCCTTGAAGTATTTGGTTATCTGTGTTTCAGTGCCTCTTAACTCATTGAGCACTGCCTTGGTCTTCTCCGTTGCATCAGTGGAATCTACTAGATTTATTACTAGTGCTGGGTACTGACATAGTGGCATGGACCAGGCGAGGTCTTTAGTAGTTTTGCAAGTGCAGTTTTGCAAGTGCAGGTTCGTTTATCTTATCACCCAAGCGTGAACGCATGAGTTCTAACTCACTAAATATTGACTGATTTGAATGAGTTCATCCTCCTCATCATCGCCACACTCATTGACAGCTAGATCGTATCGTCGTCTGAGCTCGGTGTCGACGATTGGCATGCGTCGTTCGGGTTGTTGGTCGTGGATGCCTACTCTCCTCTTACATAGAGTTGCTATAGGCACCGGTGTTGTTTCTTCCAATTTGGGTACAAACCTACTAACCAGGACATGGTTACATTGGCATATACTTTTGTATATTTCTAAACGCATCGCTGAGGCTAGTATGGGCAATCCTCCCCCCCTCCCCCCCCCCGGCGCCTGGTGTAGGCCAGCTTGAGCCACTACCTGGGCTTGCCCCCCCCTTGCGCCATCCGTGCCCACACCCTCTTCGTCATCACCATACACGCTTGCTCTGGTTGCCGTTGGCATCTTGAGATGTATGTGATGGTGTGTGGTTATTGCAAGTTATCAGTAAAGACTCTTACTATATTCTGTACGTATGTGCGCTTCACCCTCCTTGTCTTTAGTAACAATTTGTAAAAATAAATAAATAAAAATCGGGTTCATTTACTTACTTGTATTGTGGTATTGCTTTGCTGCACTTCCATGGGAAGTGTTTACCTTCCTGTGTGTTACGGTAGCTTGTTGTGTTCCTTCCTGTAATCGGGAGGGTTTATTTGATGTTTGTTAGTCAAGCTTATTTCGTCAAGTGTGAACTCGCTTGTGTTTATTTCGTCACTTGTGGAATTCTTTTCTCGTGTATGGTCTTAACAAGATGTTCGGTCCTGGTGACGTCACCTAGGAAGTTCGTTCCCTTTGACGTCACACTTGATCGTCGATCCTATTGACAACCTTTACGTTGTATCGAACTTTGTACATTGGTTTAATGTATAGTTGTGTGTCCCGAACTCTCGTATTTTGAGTGTGTCGTATGCTTGTATGTGGTGGGTAGCTTATGCCTGTGTGTACCTGCCCTTATTGTTGTAGCTTCAATGTTTTGCAGTTGTCTTGTATCCCATCGTCGCTGAGTTTTCTATTCACCCGAGTGCCCGAGATGTCTCGTGTCTGAGGTAATCAACAGCTTGTTACTTGATCTGTTATGACCCTTTTAGTCTACCTTGATCTTTAGTAATACTTTGTTTACACTTGATTCAATTGGTGTCATCTCATAACTTCATATGTTTATTGTGTTTATAATCATATGGTTATTGCGTTTATGTTATTACAACATTTCTGAATGGGTTGTTTCCTTCGACACTCTTGCGAGTCTTGACTTGTGAATCTTGTCCTGATCGCGTAGTACTACTTGTACTTGATCTAAATCGATAATTATGTATTGATCTTTTTTAGCACTTCTTGCACTTGATCTGATTCTAATGGTTTAGCTTTGTTCGTCCATGACTTACTCTATTCGTAGTTTTGTGTGTCTGTGTGCTGATTTCCGACATGTGATTTGTCTTGTGACTCTTATTGATCTTCTTGGTATTGCTTATACCTGATCAGATTAGTCACTTAAATGTTGAGTGATCTTTTGTGACTAATTTATATCATTCTCTATCTGTATCGTAGTGATGTATTCCATGTATTATGAGGAGCATGTGAATTGCTTTGAGCAGCTTTTCAATCTTCTTGGTATTGCTTATACCTGATCAAGTCGCTTGTGCACTATTTGTTTTGTCAAGATCTGATTTCTAGTACCAAGGTTTGCTTCTGTACTTCTAATTGTTTATCTTTATTTGTGTGTCACCGTCTATAATCCCGACTCATGGAACATACTGGTGTTTCACTAATCGTGTGTGAGAAGTATTTGACTTCAATTTTGTGTGCTTGCTTGTTGATATCTATAGGAGTCTCTAGTAATTGTATATAGATCCTTTTATTAATTAAGTCTGAGTTTGGCCTACATCTGATTTCGATGTACGAACTCGTTACACTCATTTGTGTGTTTATAATTAAGTCTGTGTCTGGTCTACACCTGAGTTCGATGCACGGATTTGGTACACTTACTTATTTGTTTCTTATATCTGGTGTCTGTACCATCCTTTGACGATTGTGTTTTATATGGCCCTATAGAATCTGCTAGTCTCCTTTGGAGTCACTGTACTGTGATTTCTTATGCTAGGTTTGTAATTGTAGAAAACCTCTAAATCGGCCTTGCTACTAGTCTGTCTAATAACGCCTCAGCCTTTGATGTCGTGGCTACTAATTAGGATGTGAGTTAATATTATTTAACGTTGATCCGCTTGTTCTAGACACCTTTTTTAATAAAGTTGCCACTAATTGCTATGACCCACTTTTATGATTTGCTATGCTTGATCTCAAGGTGCATTGCCTTGTTGTTAGCCTATCTCTTGTTGGTGTACAAGGCCCCTGACGTCACTTCGATTTTTTTTCTTCTTCACTGACTGAGGTTTTCTCTAACTTGTACCACACAACTTTTCACACCTTGACACATGTCCAGCTTACTTCTGGAACACGATATATTTACATCAGTTGTTGCGCTGATGTTACTTGTCGTTGTGGAGCTTGTGTCTTTAGCTCCTCTTTGTTTTCCTGTCTTCTGCAGCTTGAAGTATCGGCACTCTCTGCGAAGGCCAGACCTCTGTTTCTGCTTCTTCCTTGTTCCTATCATAAATAATAATTTGTATATTACTTCCAGAACTTCCCCAAGACAGGAAGGAGTCCTTCTTCACCTACTAATATAATCTTTTCGGTATGATAAAATTCTTGATGACTAATCTAAGTTAGGATATTGCAAAAGTTGTAGAGTATAGTGAGTAGCTGAAAGATATGAGTCAAAAGATTCAATAGACCTCTTCTCAAGTACGATTATCTCAGCTAGGAAAAGTCCTTTGTCTGAGAGAACCGACCAGAGTCTTTAGTTGTGTTTTTTAATTCACTATACTCAAGATTTTACTGGAGTGTTTCTCTCACACGCGGAGTCCCGGAGTCCCGGTTTAGCTGACTGGTTCTACCGCTAATATTTCTGATGACTCTAATATCAGGAATATTCCAATCCTAATTCCAAAACTCAATATAAAATGATTCTGAGGTTTTGGGGTTTGTATCGGCTTTTTGATAATCTGGTATCTATATGCTACACGCGTGTGAGAGAAACACTTAAGTATAAACCCGAGTCTAGTAAATTAGAAAACACAAATAAAGACACAGTTTGGCTCTCTCTGACTAGGGACTTTTCCAGCCTGAGATAACCGTACTCGAGAAGAGATCTGTTATATTCTTCCGCTCGTATCCTTCAGCTGCTCTCTATACACTCACACGAATGTTCATTGTTTGACTTCTTGACCTGGTATCTCCACTACTAATCCTGGTCAGTTGCAGTGTACCTCAGGTGGTATCTTGCGGTTTTGGTCTAACAAGTCCGAGAGTGAACCTCTGAATCCTTATTGTTCATGTTCAGGGTCTTCCTCATGTGGTATGAGAAGTGATTCACATATGGCATCCGTTGGTGTGAGTGAACTGATTATCCCACTATATATATGTTCAAGTATGGTAGAATGTCCATACCTAAAAGGATTGGTGATTTCTTGTCTATGAGGTCGAGTACCTCTAAGAATTTTATGTCTTTCTACCGACGTAATTGATGTCACATACTTCTGTGGAACCTGTACGTTGTACTCGTGCATCAGATTGTGCTAGTTGTATGTATCCGGGTTGTGCTTTTACTGACAAGTATAGTTCAGTTACCACACTGCGATCCATACATAAAAGTTGTGCTCCTGAATCTACTAGTGTATCGTATGTGGTGCCATTGATTTGTATGTCTATGTGGAATCTTTGGTCTCGTGGGTTAAGAATTAAAGAATAAGGTGTGTAAGCATTATCATTTGCATTTATTAACAACATGTATTCATCAGTGTATGCATTCACAATGTCTACCATGCTAGCTTCCGCTCACCAAGCCTGTCAATGTTCTTCGTCCATCTCTTGTACCGTGTTGCCATTGGTAGGGTTAACTGTTCTATATGGACGGGTTGAGATTGCTGCGCTGCACAAGCTGCTGCTTTCTGACGATTGCTTTCTTCTTTCTTGGGGCACTTGCTGTACGCATGTGCCGAAAAGTATATAGTAGTGCGGGCAAGGTCGTGGTCCTCGCGGTGTTTGGTTGGTAGTGCCCTGTCCGATGGGCCGTCCTCGGCATTGCCCTACTTGTGGTCCACCCCCTCTGGGTTGACCCACCCCTGTGGGTGGACCCTCTATGGGTAAGTCAAGTCTTGTACGGTTGGCTCGTTGTTCTGGAATGAGTGTGTTTCTCACTCGCTTGAGTTCACGATTGCGATTAGCTTGTGTTATTGTTGCTTGTCTGATAAGATCTTCAGCGAGTTCATGAAATACCTTCTCTGATATGTCAGACAAGTGTCCACTACTACCATCAGGCTTTGTTTAAGCCTTTATTATTATATCAGTTTCAAATTGCTGTCCATATATGACTAGTAGTTGGTAACGTGATACTTTGAGAAATTGCCAATTAATGGACTCTCTCTCAGTGTTTTTGTATCGTTTCTCCAACTCAAGCATTGTGCGACGCAATCATACTGCTCGTACTACAACGTTCATGCGAGTGTCATATAAGTCGTTGAGCCACTACTCTAGTAGATAGTCTACTGGTGTGCAACGCAAGTTGTCAATGATTAATATATTGTAGTCTTCCACATCAGTGAAGTCTTTCCAAAGCTGTTTGGAACTAGAACTACGTAAATTATTGAATGCTGTGCGGGATATCTCTGTTGCGTCTGTCTGTCGTAGCAATTCTTGTACGAATGATAGATACTGTACCAATGGTATGTTGGTGCCCGCAAATAAGTATTTTGCTACAGATACAAGCTCAATTGTATCACGACAATCAGCCATGCTAACATACTTGTTGGCTGGCCGCTTGGGGAATTCGCTCATCTTGAGTAGCTTGTCCATCTCTGGTTCTGAGATTTTATCCCCTACATGGGATCTAATTAGTGTTTACTTGCTCATGAAGTCAATGCACTCATCGTGATCCTTCTTATCACAGTCCTTCATAACTTTATTGGATAGCTCTGATTACTATCTATCTACTTCTGGTATCAAACTGTTAGGTTATTGGTTGTGAACTGCATTACGAAGTTTGTGGAGTGCTCGTATGTCAATGGGATCGTCCGCCTTCTGTGCATACAGACTGTTCATTTGTATGCCTATAATACAGGCATTGCCATAGTAAATGGTCGTGTCGATGACCACTTTGAACTTACTCATTACTGGGTATAGAGGTACTCTTGCTGGTGTGGGCTCATCATTTAGGTGCATCGCTCTCTCTCCATTGTTCGGAGTGGAGGTGTGTGAGGATGCTCAGTAATCTGACATTGTGTGTACTGGTTCTGACCTAGTTCTGGTTGTACGACTTGTACCTCCTCTTGTCTGTGTTCGGCTTGAGCTCA